GAGATAGAGGTGGAGGTAGAGGTAGAGTCAGATAGAGATAGAAAGACAAACATGAAAACAGAACAAGGAGACACACGAGAGGAAAAGGAGTGCAACAGGGAGACGAGGAGAGACAGAGCATATGGGTTTTCTCAGGTGTCGGGCTTCAAGCCTAGCTTTAGGTCCTGAGGTTAGATACAGCCCCTTCTGTTTGACACTGTACGGCTTTATGTTATTAGCGAAAGCGCTACAGTGAAGAACCATCTCAGGAAACACGACCTGGCCTTGTCAACAATGAAGAGCGCCGTTTTGTGCACACAGTGCACGGCAGCTGCGAGCATTTCGGCCCCGCCCTGTCCGCAGAGCACCTGGCCCTCTGCTGGAAGGAGAGATTTGATCTGCTCAACCTGGACGCCTTCTGCACGACTGGCCGACTGCAGCAGCTTCAGGAGCTGCTCTTGACCCCTGGCTTTGGCAGTCTTCTGCATCCACTGCTTGAACTCTTCTTGCAAGCTGGGTACTCCAGCTTCGGTTTTGAGAAGCTCAAGCAACTTGACGGTGCAATCGATGCGGACACTGTCAAGTGCATGCACACCGTCTGACATAATGTGCTCAGCAATCTTTCTAGCAAAGAACTCAGCCTTCTGTACCAGGACCTTGCATTCCAACTCGCGAACCCCAGCCATGACCTCGCAAGGACAGAGCCCCACTGGCAGCGGCTGCTGCCTACGTCGGGCCTACGTCGTGCGTATACCGACTGACCTACTTCATCACTTCAGTTGTTTTCATGACCGATCATCGTACATGAAAACGGACAATGTCGATTCGGATGGACACGGACCGATCATCGTAAATGAAAAAGGACAATATCGATTCGGATGGACACGGACCGATCATCGTAAATGACAAAAGGACAATATCGATTCGGATGGACACGGACCGATCATCGTAAATGAAAAAAGGACAAAACCTATTCGGATGGACACGGACCGATCATTGTCGTAAATGAAAAGTATCGATTCGGATGGACACGGACCGATCGTAATTGAAAAAAAAACAATAGCGATTCAGATATGGATGGACACGGACCGATCATCGTAAATGAAAAAGGATTGGGCGACCAATGGATTCAATGGGTTCGAATGGACAATATCGATTCGGACAAGCGCTAAGCATCAACTCGAATGGACAATATCGATTCGGATGGACACGGACCGATCATCGTAAATGATACACGGATTTGGGCGACCAGCGGATTCGAATGGACAATATCGATTCGGACAAGCATGAAGCATCATCAATCGGCAAACCAGCCACTTGACTTAACAGACTTAACAGAACATCAGCTCCTCTGAACCCGGACCCACCGGCTCGGTTCCCCTCAACAAGCCGCAACAAGCCGGCCAGTTGTCTTTATCTCCATGTGTGTATATACATACATACATACATACATACATACATACATACACATATACACATATATATATATATCATACATATACATATACATGTACATATACAGATACAGATACATATACATATACATATACAATATACATATACATATACATACATGACATACACATACACATACACATACACATACACATACACATACACATACACATACACATACACATATACATATACATATACATATACATAAACAAATACAAATACATATACATATACATATACATATACATATACATATACATATACATATACATATACAATATACAATATACATATACATATACATATACATATACATATACATATACAATATACATATACATATACATATACATACACATACACATACACATACACATACACATACACATACACATACACATATACATATACATATACATATACATATACATATATATATATATATATATATACATATATACATACATACATACACTCTCTCGCTCTCTCTCTCTCTCTCCTCCCCCATATCTTGAGAGCATGGGCATAAGCCCATAAGCCATAAGCCAGCTGCAGATACAGAGAGCTGCGACGTAGAACAGCGCGAGTTGCTGAAACAAATCCTGGCCCCGGCCTCTGCCAGAAGAGTACAGGCTTCCTGCACAGCCGCGGTTGTTGGATCCTCCTCCTTCTGCAGCAGGTCCAACAAGCGAGTTTTCTTCGGGACAAGGACCTCGCGGCTGCCAGCCGTGCGGGCAGCGTCTTGCGCCTGCTTTGACCAAAACTCCTTCGAAAGCACGCCTTTCATCGCTCGCAGGAATGATTGAGCATGAGCTGGAGCCCCATGTGCTTTGTCGATGAAGTAAAAGACCTCTTGCACTGTGCATGCGTCGCCCAGTCTGCCAGTCTCAGGGTCTGCAACTTCAACGTTCATCAAGAACAGCAAGGACCTGTAGAAACGGCAAAGAAGGTCGGGTGTTTCCGCCAATTTCTTGAACTTGCCGCCGGCCATTGTCTGGAGGCGTTCCCACAAAGGTGCTGCACATGTGATGTTCTTCATCACCTGCTCTGCTAGGAATGTGATGACTTCGTGGGCCTGAGCTTCACGGATGATTTGCAAGAGATCCTCAAACATGAACATCTCCATGATCGCAACCCGAAGGTCCTGCAGCACATGAGCAGTTGACAGACAGACTGACCGACTGACCTTCACAGGTCATGGATTGAGACACGAGAGTTCGCTCGCAGGACTGCTACAACGCTGCAGAGCTACAACATCTGAACCACAAAAAAGGTTTAAGAAGGAGCACTGCACTGTTTATTCGGCAAATATCCGAAACTGTTTGGAGCTTCGTTTGAAAAGACATGCGGAACAGAGCTCAAGAAGGGAGATGCACTGCTGACTGCTGCACTGAGTCATCAATTCATGTCATGTTGTTGGTGGCTAGCACCCATGGTGCCACAGCTTTTCTCAATCAAAACTGAAATCGCAAAGAAACTAACAACAGGGTAGACGGGTAGATTTCGAAGCACATTGGACAGCATCCATGTAGCCTACACTTACACCACAGTCCATTGTCCCTACTCTACACGAGAATCGCTAGAACTCCCTGCTTCGCGGAGCCAGCAGCCAAGTACTAGCCGCTAGCCTGCATCAAAAATGCTTCTGTGCTGCGACTGGCCAAATGCGCAAATGCACGGAAGCATAAGGCATGAGAAGCCTTGGCATAGGCCAGGCATACATCATAAGCTGCCGAATCCTACCCCTAGGCCCTAGGCCCGAAGCCCTAAGCCAAGCAGATGATTTTGGTTGTTTCAGCTTTGATTCGAGTTGGCATACGGCGGCATATGAGTTGTGAGACCTTATAATCGACTCCAGTCCAAGTCTTCAAGTCCTATGTCCTATGTTCGAGGTCCTAGAGACTCTAGTCCTACAGCATCGTGCGTGGCAAAGGTCGGTAGGGCCGCGGACGTCTGTGTGTGTGTGTGTGTCAGGTGGAGTGGAAAGAACTACGATTTGACTAGATTTCTTTACTCTGACAATGATGCAGCAAGGTCAGCTTGTAAGCCACGTTACTGTTACAGTGTTACAGAATCATTACAGTGGGATCCATAATCCATATTGTCAGCTTTAGCTGAGGCTGGCCGCCTGGCAGCTAACAATTCAATAGAGTTGCGTTCACCGGAGTTCTAAAGTCTCGTCGTGCAAAAGGAGGCCTCCGGTGATTGGTAGGTTTGCGCGGCAGTCACTGGGACCACAGCCAGAGCTAGAGTCAGCTAGAATTGCTGACATAACATAGCTTCCACACTGCACTGCAGCACAGCTCGACGGATTGCCTCGATGCCATTGTCCAAGTCAGCCTCCTCCTGGTTGGCAGGGGGCCTCTCAGAAGGCGCCCCAAGCTCTGCCTCCAGTTGCGACTCCAGGTCCTCGATGTTCTGAGACGACTTCAGCATGAGCAAGCCCAAGGCATCGCTGAAAGCCGGGGATGTGCCCGAGAATTTCACCGCCTCCCCAGCACAAAGTTTGACATGGTCGAATTTGATGCGGGACGTGAAGCTCTCGGCAGCTTTCTTCCAATCCTCGGTGCCGTCACTCTTGTCCAAAGCCTCTTTCATCGACCGGATGTCTTCCATGCTGTAACGGAGGGTCAGCTTGGCTTGCAGGCTGGTCGGGTAGACACCCCAGAGCGACTCCGTCTGTGCAACATGAGCACGCACATGATTGAGCTTACCAAGCATGGCTGTCTTTGGGTCTGACAAGGCAGTCGCATGGCTGCAAATGTTGATGCGTCCTTCAAGCGTCTCTGCAGCGAAAACCTGCTTGTTTTTGACAAGGGTATCCAAGATTCGCTTCGCCTCGGCATCAGTTAGGGTTGAGGGTTGAGGGTTTAGAGTTCAAGGGTTTAGGGCCTAGGGTTTAAGGGTTTAGGGCCTAGGGTTTAGCCGAGTAGGTCCATAAGCCAGTTCAGCCAAGCCTTCTCAGGTCACTAGCCATAGTCACGAGTGACACACGCAACATGCCAATGGAAACGCAGATTGTGGAATTGTAGAGTTCAGCAATTCAGTACAAGCAATAAGACAGAAAATAATTGAACTTCGAGCGGCTTTTAGAGTCAAGCCTAGCGGATTTTAGCACCTGCAACGATTCACATCCGAAGAATGCTTTGCAGGCCTTATGCCTTACGTCATAAGACATAAGATGCAGGACGTACGAACTCTGGCTCAAAGCTCCTGGGTCTCAGACTCCAAAACAGTGTAAAGCTTAGGCAGCTTAGAGTCAGTAGTATAGGCGCACTAACACTCAGGAAGACACAGTAAGAGATGGCCCAACTCTGATTCAAACAAGCCGGCCTGCGAGGGACACGCACAATAACAGACACACACACACACACACACGGACACACACACAGACACTATAGTCACTATAAGACTCAAACACACAAAAACACATGCACGCACAGAGAGACACAAAGAGAGAGAGAGAGAGAGAGAGAGAGAGAGAGAGAGAGAGAGAGAGAGAGAGAGAGAGAGAGAGAGAGAGAGAGAGAGAGAGAGAGAGGGATAACCGCCACCTTGCTCTGCTATGCCGCTATGCACAGCTCCAGGATTCGGAATTTCCTATGCAACTGAGGCACGCCATTGAGGTTGTTCTGCAGCTGTTTGCTGTTTGACAACAAGAACGACTCTGGAATCAAGTGCTCCAAGCTCTTGATGCCGACATTCGTGGAACTGTGGCCACCCTGGCCCTGGCACTCGAGATGCTTCTCTGCGACGCGCTTCAGATCCGGATCCAAGCGAGCTACGACGGAAGCATGCTCCTTCGACTGGCTGCCGCCGAACTTGACACTCGAGCCGCTCTGAATGTCCACATTCGCACCATCCATAGATTGCATAGCCACAGATCTTGGAGGCTGCATCGTGCCAGGTGCGGGTGCGACCTTGGCAGCTGCCTTAGCCGTAGCCGGAGCCGTAGATGCTGCAACAGCTGCTGCTACATCAGTCCTTCGTCTCTTTGCCGAGCTCTTGGCTGCAGTGGCAGTGAAACCGAAGCCCACACTTCGCGTTGCAGCAGCTGGCACGGGTGCTGCATCATCAGCACCCTCTTCTGACTCCGAGCTCCCGTGGTCCGAGTCGTCTTGCTGCTTTCCTACAGCTGCTTCCCAAGTCCTCTGTGCTTGAGCGTGCTTAGTCTTCAAAGCCTGGAGGTTGTCCGGCTTGCTGGAAGCCGGGGTCAGGCCTTTCCCTCGCCCCTCAAAGCTCCTGGCCGTGAGGTAGGAGAACAAGTTGTTACCCTGCCGCTCATGAAGCTGCCTGGCACTGTCCAGAATCACTTCCTGCAAGGCAGTGTTGGTCTGGTAGAAGAGCTCAACGCGCCTGACACTTTGGGCTTGGGACGGCTCCAAGCCCTGCAGGTCGAAAAGCCAGTACTTCGTGCGAAGGTCCGGCGAAACGAATGGCAGGTTGACCTGCACTGGCTGGTCCTTCTTGCCGAGATCGGTCGGCAAGCCCCCGAGGAGTCCAGTGTACTCAGAATCGGTCAGCAATCCGTAAGGCTGGATGATCCTCAGGCCGTAGCTCGTCTCTGTGCCGACATTGGCAGCTGGAGAAAAGTTTGCCGCGACTTTTCCGTGATATATCTCAATGCCCTTGTCGAAATCAATCCGAAACAGCGGGTCTGCACTGGATTTCGTTCCTTTTTGGTACGCGTCTACTAGCTCTGCCAAGCTCTTGCCTGGGCGCAACTGGCAGGCGCAGTCGCCACAATCCCAGCATACTGGCGTCAAGATCGCTCCATTGGCGTCCACTTCAGCGAATGGCTTGTCCTGCACTGCTGAACACAGTCTTACCAAAGCTGTGGCAACACTTCTTCCGACTGTTTTGTCTGGAAAAAACAATATATGCTGCCTGTGTTCAACTGTGTTTTGGCATCCGGGCCCCAAAGAGCCAATACTTTCTCGAAGGTCGTCGGGTCGTCGGGTGACAGTGAGTGATTTTTTGATTAGAGTTATTAGACAGTAGAGCAAGGTGTAGTATAGTTGGTACACTGACGCTGATCGACATCACGCTCCGTAGCAGGACCATGACCAGGTCATCGAGACCGGGCAGCACATGGGGCAAGCTTGTCACTGCTTCTGAGAAACATAGAACGACATAGAATGCCTCTTATCCCAGCTCCCAAGGCCCGGCCCAACCAGCTCCTTCGAGGATTCACCGCGCAGGACGCAAAGTACCTCGCCTTTGCTTTTCCGGGCTCGCTTTGAAGGAGGGGCACCAGCTGCAGGAGGAGGAGGAGGGTCGACCGAGCCAGTCTCTTCAGCCTTGGGAACCAAAGCTTCCTCAGAGAATGCAGGACTGAAGCACTCATTCTTGGTCATGACTGCCACGACTGCTTGCTCTGCTTGCTTGCTGCAACTGTAGACTGTAGCCGTAACTGTAACAACACTCACATTGCTTTCTCAGTCTCCCACCAGCATAGAAAAACTAAACAGAGTCGCAGAGTCACACGAATTGCTAATTCATGAAATGGCACGCTTACAGCACAGCTCACACCTACACGTTGAACAGCCGTTTATATCTGGCGACTTGCGTCTGGCCTGGCCCTACTTACCTGCTAGGCGTCACTGCTTACTGCTACCGGCTGATACCCTGAAAACCAAAACCTGAGCTGCTTCAGCCTGGCCTGACCGTAGCTGAATCTGTGGACTCCTAAGGACGTAAGGCAGCAGGCAGCAGTCACGCCAGTGGACCGGATTGCGCTGATTCTAGCAGCTAGCAGCTAGCAGCTGGCAGTTAGCAGATTCTAGATTTACTCGCCTACGGCTAGCAGCTGGCAGCTGCCACTCGTTGGTCTTCCAACAACTGGCATGCGGTGCTGCCTGGTGTGCAAACGAGGATCAGTCTTGCGGCCCATGGCGTCAGCTCTGAACCCGACACAAGCAAATTGACAGTCTTCTTCCAAGAAAATCTGCAGCAAGTCGCATTTACATCAATGAACGACTGCAACCAAAGAAGTCTTTCATGAACTTGCAGTGAGCAAGCAAAGGACAAACAAGAAGGCTTATTCAGCAACATTCGTGAGCTTGTCAATCTTCTTATGTTACAAAAATTAAGCAACTGACCAATGGGTGACCAACCCGGATTTCACCCGAAACTGCAGAGAACGCCTCTGGCTGTACCGGACCGTGTCTGCCAATGTATCACTAGACTCCAACATGCATGAAGCTCAGGGCCCAGGGCCCAGGGCCAGAGTCTGCTTCCCCCGTAGTAACTTGTAGTGCTTTGTAGCAGTAGTAGTAGCAGCAAAGGGCCCCCGAGGTCCAAGCAGCCACCTGTGGGTGGTCAGCAGCAATCACCAGTGAATCATCATAGACCTGACACGCAAACATCATGATCCTTCTCCATGGACGCTTTCAGCTGAGCTTGCAAGCGAAGTCTTCACTGAGACAAAACTCCGCAGCCCCAGTGTCTCCAACATCCCTCTGTGCTGTCACTGTCAGCCATTCGAAGTAGTGCTTACTGCTTCTTCAATACACAGTTACAGTTACTAGACTCATTAGACTAATCATGCACCTTTGCGTTATGTTTGGGGTTGGGGAGACACACAGGTCATAAGCCTGCATCTTTTTTCCTGCATGGACAGAAGCGCAAGTTGGGAGATCCATCCAATCATCTACACTCTACACATCTGCAGAACATGGAAAGCATCTGTCCACCCGTGTGGATGAGCCTAGGGCCTGTCCTGGACAACACTGTAACTGTAACAGCCTCAACCTTACTTTAGTTTAGCTTCGAATCATGCCTGTCCTATGGGGCCTTCAGCCTTTTGCCTCAATCACGGGTGTACTCTCCTGCACAGATGCGCTAATCGGCCACCGTAACTGAGGTCACAGAAGGTGTATCTGCACTGATGCACTCCTGTTCACAAGTTCACACCAACATCTTCGCAAACGATGAACGTGCAGCTGTGGCCAAAACTCTAGAAGCCCCTAGGCCCTAGGCCCTAGGGCCTGGGCCTAGACTATTCTGTCTGCTATGGCTATGGGCTGTGGAGGACAGCTGCTGGCAAGCAGCACAAGTGAAGTGCATTGTTATAGTTTTTCGCGCATGGCGACAATGACCACAATGCAGTTTCCAGTCACCATGAGACTGAGCAGAGGAACACACATCATCACTGCATTGCTGCGTTGCATCTTATGTCATAGTCTTATTGACAACATGCCCAAAACTCGCAAACCGCAAAATCACAACGCACACACACACACATGGAACATGCTGCACTGTACTGAGTGGACACGGCTCCACTGCTGCCCTGCATATTGGTCATTGCGTTGCCACGTTGAACAATTTCTATCTGGTCCACATTCTGAATCAGCAAGGCACCACTCAAGCTAGTGAATCTAGTGCAATGTAATGTAATGTAATGCACTGCACACAGTCTGCGGCATGTTGTCGTCGTCGTAGTCCTCAATCTTGCCGCAAGAGGATTCCTGAATTGGTGTGAGAGCACCCAGCAGGCATTAAAAAACTGATCTCTGGATGAAAGGCCAGCCGAGCAGGACACAGCAATGATACTAATGATTTAGGTTGGGTTAGCTGCGGTTAGTACCTTCTAGCTTGTAGCACCTTGCACGAGCGGCAATGCAAACGAAACCTGCCAAGCTGAGCCTGCCCCATCCAAACAAAGTGCACTGATGTTTACCTGGAGCTGGGTTGAACACAGCTGCCATAGCTGTCTGCCATGACATGACAGGCAAAGCAAAGCCGGACCAGTGTCAGTGGCCTGCCACCGCCACCGGATGCTGAGACTCTATACTATACTCTAAACTCTACACTGCAGTCGACACTGTACGCTAGTATCTACACTCTAGACTACCCCGAATCTAGAAACTAGACCCGACTCTAACTCTAACCTCTGACTCTAACCGACTCTAACCTCAAGCAGGTCTGCCAGTCTGCTGAGTCTGGTGTTGAGATGCCAGGTCAGCCAACAGAGTCCAATAGAGCTCACACACATCAGCCCGGAAGCCACGTTTGATGCTTTGGAGACTTTGAAGGTCGACTGCCAACGTCCGATCCTGATCACTGAACTCTGAACCTTCTGGTACGGGTACCCTCAAGACAAAAAGACGTCTTGTGCCACTGGAAGGCACTGGCAATGTCTTATGCAGAATGTAAAATGCAGAAGAGGATAGAGTCATAGAGTATAGAGTCGGATAGCGTTTTCAGAACTCAGAGCCTTTGCAACGTTGCTATACGCTAGTCCGCTACTCGTTACGGCCTACCTACCGGCTACAGCTACGAGTTCTTGTCAAGGAGTCATACTAAGGAAAAACTACAATTAAGACTCAAGATTCAGCGGGACTGACCCTGATGAAATGAAGCCATGACCAGGACCATGACCACACATGAATCAAAAAGCAGGTCCTATCAGAATCCAAGCCAAAGCTGCCAAAGCCCTCAGCCACCTCAGCCTCAGTGTACATTTTCCACACCTGACCTAGCAGCAGTGTATCAGCCACAGAGATAACTACCCCAAGTTCAGAACCAACCCGCACAAGTTGGACAGCCGACTCCCACTGGTCCAGAGTCCACGAGGCGCAAAAATCAAGTTGCCTGAGCCCCTCAAAACAACATCATGAGCTCCGGTTTGGGGAGCCTTCACTGGGCCTTCACCCTTCTGACTCAGCTCTGGGAGACTTTGTCAGACTCTGCGAGTCTGCTTGGCGATTGAGTTTCATCAGAGTTTCGAACTGAATCAGAACGACCCTGGCACTTTGCACGCACAAAAAAACACATTGGGCATTACACTGCATTGTCACTGCCTCATGCTGCTGCATTCCAACATATACACACCAGCCGAAAGCACACAGAGGTTGATCCTGTGGAGTCTATGGGACTGAGCGACACCATAATGAACAATGCACCCTGCTGAATACTAGACAGCAAAGCTGTCTGTGTGCTGCAAGGCATGAATCAGTGTTGCTATGCAAGGGAGGCATATGCCTTCGCCTGCAAGATCACGCAAAGCAGACCTGGGCATGCTGTCCGGAATATTCATGTCCAGACCATGGCCTTGCATGAGCATGGCTTCGATCGGGAGTATAATGCGATCTCTACCATGAGAATAAAGGGCAGTCGATGTTGTAAAACATGGAGAAGCCAGAGTCTTCGGGGACGTGAAAGACTTGCGGATCGGATTTTGCGATACGTCCGTGTAGAGGTCATAGCAAGCTTCTTTCACAGCAGCTGGGCCCTGCTGCTGGAGCTTGAGTGCACTTCGAGCACCCAGAAATCCCAGAACTGCAAGATTCAGCACTTCATCGATGCGCTCAGATCGAACGATTCCTGCAAGTTTCAAGCCAGGAATCTCCGTCCAGGGCTTGCAGCATCCTGCTTTCATCTCACGACGTAGCTGGTAAGCTTGAACCTGCCATTTCTTCCAATTGTTCCAAGCGGCCTGCCAGAACTGCACGTCTGGATTCAACACAGCCGCAAACTGCAAAGGCACACGGTTCTGAACCTTGGGGCCTTTGGGCCTTGGGCCTTGGGGCCTTTGGGCCTTGGGCCTTGGGGCCTTTGGGCCTTGGGGCCTTTGGGTGCTGGGGCCTTTGGTGGGTCTTTGGGTGGCTGGGGGTGGGGTCGGCTGGGCTGTGGGAAGGCGGTTTGGGGGGGGCTGGCGGCCGGCGCCCTGGCCGGCCGCGGGCTGCGGGAAGGCGCCCGGACACAACCTGGGGGCGACCTGCCCGGCACGCCAAAAATACGCAAAAAATATGCAAAACACACTGTGTTTTGCATATTTTACGGGCCGTGCCCTGGCCCAGCCGGTGGGCCCGGCACCCCTAAAATATGCAAAACACAGTGTGTTTTGCACATTTGTTGCATATTTTTGGCGTGCCTGGGCCCTGGGCCCAGCCGGTGGGCCCGGCACCCCTAAAATATGCAAAACACAGTGTGTTTTGCACATTTATTGCATATTTTTTGCGTTTTCTTTGCGTATTTTTTGCATCTTCCTGGCGGTCCGCATCCGAGGGCAGAATGGGATTGCATATTTTTTGCATCTCCGCATCTGGGGGCAATATTTTTTGCATATTTTTTGCGTCTGTCTGGTAAGCTGCATTGGGAAACCCACGTTCTTGTAACCTGCATCTGGAAAAGATCGACTTGCCCATTCATTCCTTGGCAGCTTCTGGCAAGCCTGGCTTGGATTCTAATCGAAGGATTCGGAAGCTCATGTGCAAATTTCTACCACTGAACTCCGTACTGCCGTACTGAGTGCTGCCTGCTGCCAGTGCTCAAATTTCAAATCATGATGGATGAGCCGCTAGAGCGGCTAGAGGCTTGATCATGCCATTACATGGAAATGAAGTGGATCGAC